TTCTCAGCAATAAACAGTCCTGGGGATCTGGATGCCTCTTCCTCATCAGTATCCACAGCATCTCTGAAACAGTAATGATGAATTATGTATGACTTAACGGTTGCCATAACGGAGCTCTGACTGTACATAGCACCGTCGCGATCGTTCACGTGTGAATATAAATAATGTTAGTCCGCTTTCCTGACTCAAGTGTAGGCAAAAAGTACAGTGAAAGAATATATTTAAGCAAAAATACAGAAATATTGTTTTAGAGATCGATATTTGAATAATACATTATTAATGCTAATTTAAAGCATTAAAAAAGTCCTTATATACAGAAGTGAAATGAAATATCATTAGTCAGCACCGTGTTTCACGAATTACTAAATATTAGGTCACTTTGTATATTACACTGATATGTTCTCAATCAACGACTTAAACATTGTACAATTTCACTGCTGATCTCTAAAGTCATTGTAATTTCTGAATAAAAGACTTCGAAACCTGGTTTTATGTAAGAAAGTAGACATATATGTCCCCAGTCAGTTTTCTTTTCACAGTTGAGTAGTGTCCCCAGCCCAGTGTTTCTTTTACTAGATTATTGTAGTGTCCCAGCCAATGTTTCTTTTTCACAGAATGTAGTGTCCCGCCCAGTGTTTCTTTTCACAGAACTGTAGTTGTCCCGCCCATTTCTTTTTCACAGAACTGTAGTGCCCCAGCTCAGTTCTTTTTCACAGAACTGTAGTGTCCCCCCCAGTGATTCTTTTTCACAGAACTGTAGTGTCCCGCCCATGTTTCTTTTTCACAGAACTGTAGTGTCCCCAGCTCAGTGTTTCTTTTTCACAGATTGTAGTGTCCCCGCCCAGTGTTTCTTTTTCACAGAACTTGTAGTGTCCCCAGCCCAGTGTTTCTTTTTCACAGAACTGTAGTGTCCCAGCCAAGTGTTTCTTTTTCACAGAACTGTAGTGTCCCCGCCCAGTGTTTCTTTTTCACAGAACTGTAGTGTCCCCGCCCAGTGTTTCTTTTTCACAGAACTGTAGTGTCCCCAGCTCAGTGTTTCTTTTTCACAGAATTGTAGTGTCCCCAGCCCAGTGTTTCTTTTTCACAGAATTGTAGTGTCCCCAGCCCAGTGTTTCTTTTTCACAGAATTGTAGTGTCTCCAGCTCAGTGTTTCTTTTTCACAGAATGTAGTGTCCCCAGCTCAGTGTTTCTTTTTCACAGAACTGTAGTGTCCCCGCCCAGTGTTTCTTTTTCACAGAACTGTAGTGTCTCCAGCTCAGTGTTTCTTTTTCACAGAACTGTAGTGTCCCCAGCTCAGTGTTTCTTTTTCACAGAACTGTAGTGTCCCCGCCCAGTGTTTCTTTTTCACAGAACTGTAGTGTCCCCAGCCCAGTGTTTCTTTTTCACAGAACTGTAGTGTCCCCGCCCAGTGTTTCATTTTCACAGAACTGTAGTGTCCCCGCCCAGTGTTTCATTTTCACAGAACTGTAGTGTCCCCAGCTCAGTGTTTCATTTTCACAGTTGAGGTAGTGTCCCCAGCTCAGTGTTTCATTTTCACAGTTGAGGTAGTGTCCCCAGCTCAGTGTTTCTTTTTCACAGAACTGTAGTGTCCCCGCCCAGTGTTTCTTTTTCACAGAACTGTAGTGTCCCCGCCCAGTGTTTCTTTTTCACAGAACTGTAGTGTCCCAGCCCAGTGTTTCTTTTTCACAGAACTGTAGTGTCTCCAGCTCAGTGTTTCTTTTTCACAGAACTGTAGTGTCCCCGCCCAGTGTTTCTTTTTCACAGAACTGTAGTGTCTCCAGCTCAGTGTTTCTTTTTCACAGAACTGTAGTGTCTCCAGCTCAGTGTTTCTTTTTCACAGAACTGTAGTGTCTCCAGCTCAGTGTTTCTTTTTCACAGAACTGTAGTGTCCCCGCCCAGTGTTTCTTTTTCACAGAACTGTAGTGTCCCCAGCTCAGTGTTTCTTTTTCACAGAACTGTAGTGTCCCCGCTCAGTGTTTCATTTTCACAGTTGAGGTAGTGTCTCCACCCCAGTGTTTCTTTCTTACAGGGGTGGAAGGGGCTGTCTCCAGTCGAATGTTTTTCTCTGTCTGATATATGATATATTTACATAGATCAGCTTTGTAATAGACACATACATAGATTCACTTGTGAATGCTGCAGAGGTAAATTAACCGGAGACACAGATACATAGGAGTGATTGCACACTTAACTGAAAATTTATAAAGTTGAGACAAAAATTCGGTTCTTCGTGCAGGATTGTCAAGTTCAAATATTAATGTTCTAGAATAAAATAAATAATGGTCCAGGATTGACCAAGATTATAAAGATGCATGTAATAATTATCTAGAATTAACCAAGATTATTAGGTTGCAACTGAACAATCTTGGATCAGGATGGACCAAGATTATCAAGTTACAAATGATCATGGTCCAGCATGGACCAACATGTAAGTTGTGAATTGCTGTTGTCACAACATCAACTTGACAGTGAGCACATGCGTGCAGTGATCATGGTGCCTGCATACATGCGTGCAGTGATCATGGTGCCTGCATACATGCGTGCAGTGATCATGGTGCCTGCATACATGCGTGCAGTGATCATGTGCCTGCATACATGCGTGCAGTGATCATGGATGCCTGCATACATGCGTGCAGTGATCATGGTGCCTGCATACATGCGTGCAGTGATCATGGTGCCTGCATACATGCGTGCAGTGATCATGGTGCCTGCATACATGCGTGCAGTGATCATGGTGCCTGCATACATGCGTGCAGTGATCATGATGCCTGCATACATGCGTGCAGTGATCATGATGCCTGCATACATGCGTGCAGTGATCATGGTGCCTGCATACATGCGTGCAGTGATCATGGTGCCTGCATACATGCGTGCAGTGATCATGATGTCTGCATACATGCGTGCAGTGATCATGATGTCTGCATACATGCGTGCAGTGATCATGATGCCTGCATACATGCGTGCAGTGATCATGGTGCCTGCATACATGCGTGCAGTGATCATGGTGCCTGCATACATGTATGTGGAAGAGACTATATACTTACGGGTATTAATATATGACATGTCTAGGCAGGCCCAGGCGATGGCATAATTCACATAGTCAGTGCTGAGAACCCAGTAGTTGCCTTTGCTTCCAACAGCACCCATCCCTAGAACTGTAAACACTTTAATTACATTTTAATTATTGATTATGATAATAGACATGGGGAAGCGCTCAACTCGTAGGAGTCATTGAGTATCAAGGAAATAAAAGCTTATATGTAAGTAAATGCAAAGTAGCTACAGTTCCTTGGATCAAGAGCCATTTGCCAGCAGCAAGGCGCTCTCCTTGATGATATCCTAAGCTCAATATATCATTATCATTCCAGAAGTATTGTTTGAAATAATTTTATTAAATAAAAAGCAAGCGCTAAATCTGTATGGGAGAGATGAATGTAAGTTAGGATGATTATCATCATAATTCTCTCAGTGGGACAGTTCACGTTCAAGAGTCATTATTATTAACGTATTTATAAAAAAGATCACTAAATTCGTATAAAGTGTGAGGATGTGTAATGGTGAAGTAAAGTCGTGGAACAGGACTTCAGGACTTCATCAGAGACCCTCAGAATGATCACTAGTCTCACCACACTGATGCAGCAGAGACCCTCAGAATGATCACCAGTCTCACCACACTGGTGCAGCAGAGACCCTCAGAATGATCACCAGTCTCACCACACTGGTGCAGCAGAGACCCTCAGAATGATCACCAGTCTCACCACACTGATGCAGCAGAGACCCTCAGAATGATCACCAGTCTCACCACACTGGTGCAGCAGAGACCCTCAGAATGATCACCAGTCTCACCACACTGGTGCAGCAGAGACCCTCAGAATGATCACTAGTCTCACCACACTGATGCAGCAGAGACCTCAGAATGATCACCAGTCTCACCACACTGATGCAGCAAGACCCTCAGAATGATCACCAGTTCACCACACTGGTGCAGCAGAGACCCTCAGAATGATCACCAGTCTCACCACACTGGTGCAGCAGAGACCCTCAGAATGATCACTAGTCTCACCACACTGGTGCAGCAGAGACCCTCAGAATGATCACCAGTCTCACCACACTGGTGCAGCAGAGACCCTCAGAATGATCACTAGTCTCACCACACTGGTGCAGCAGAGACCCTCAGAATGATCACCAGTCTCACCACACTGGTGCAGCAGAGACCCTCAGAATGATCACCAGTCTCACCACACTGGTGCAGCAGAGACCCTCAGAATGATCACTAGTCTCACCACACTGGTGCAGCAGAGACCCTCAGAATGATCACCAGTCTCACCACACTGGTGCAGCAGAGACCCTCAGAATGATCACCAGTCTCACCACACTGATGCAGCAGAGACCCTCAGAATGATCACCAGTCTCACCACACTGATGCAGCAGAGACCCTCAGAATGATCACCAGTCTCACCACACTGGTGCAGCAGAGACCCTCAGAATGATCACTAGTCTCACCACACTGGTGCAGCAGCCACCAGGGGCAGTGACAGCCATCACTGCACTACCCTCAACAGTGACACATTTTCCCTCCATTAAACAACTGAATTTTGCAAATTGGGGAAATATCCTAACTAATGATATAGAAAGAAAAGGAAGAGCTGGAGACAATCAGATTCGATCTTAGGAAGACGAATATTGCTCAAATTCCTCGGATCCAGACGCTTTGATCGTCAAGGTCACACGCTTCCTTTGAAAGGAATATTATAGACATAAAGAAGCAGTGACCAGCAGGAGTGTTGCAGCTCCCGGGGGGAATAAAACATAAACAAGTATCGTACATGTAAGGAGTACTTTATACACTTGAATTAACAGGCAATCGTCTACACAAAAGTATTGCTATGAAGGACTATCTGAAGTAAGGGCTTAGATAGGCCTACAGGGAATGTAAAAACAGGGAAAATAGCTAAATAAGAGTTAAGAACATATGAGAACTGAGATTAAAATAAATGTGTAAACATGAAAAAGATATAATAAACTAACAAATTGAAAATGAAAACTGGAATGAAGCGTAGTTTAACTTTTATTGAAGATCTGTAGTCTTTTTTATCATAGCTGGCACTGGACAAGCACCTAAAGTCGGTTCCTGATCAGCCGGGCTGTGGCTCGTACGTTGGTTTGCGTGCAGCCTGCAGCAACAGCCTGGTTGATCAGGCTCTGATCCACCAGGAGGCCTGGTCACAGACCGGGCCGCGGGGGCGTTGACCCCCGGAACTCTCTCCAGGTAAACTCCAGGTAATAACTGTTGTGTTGTGACTTATTCTCAGAAAGATATGTTACAGGATTTACAAGATTCGTAATGTAAAACATAAATTATTATTATTATTATTATTATTATTATTATTATTATTATTATTATTATTATTATTAAAACTAAGCACTAAATCCACAAGGGTCATACAGTAAAAGACATGAAGACGTTGGAATATTTTAAACTCACAATATTAAGCAATCAGAGATGAGGATCTTGGAAAGCAAACGCTAAAAGTTACTGGTATTTACTTACATAATAAACTGCTGTAATTGAGGGAAAACGTGGCTTGGCCGCTGCCAGGACTGACAAGCGCAGCCTCTCCTTCAATAGTGTCCCAGACACTGCCCAACCTGAAACACTTTGTTACTGTACATAACTTACTGACGTGTTCACAATATTTCCAATACTAACCACAATGTTGTGTACTGCTGAGTTATTATACGTGTGGGAAACACTACGATGAAATTTTCCAACTGAAAAGTTGCGTTTTATTATTTTCTTGAATATATCTTACTTAAGTTATCCATAGATAATAGTATACTAGTTTAGTTAAAAGAAAATATTAAGCACAAATTGGTTATATTTCGTTAAACATCAGAAGGAAGGTGTGTGTAGTATGAAGTAAATGTTAAGAGGAAAGTTGAAGTTGGTGCAGTAATAAACTTACATCAAAGATGTCATAAAGAATCATCATTGACGTGGAACTGTCAGAGAGGAGAGCAGAACGAGGGAGCCAGAGAAGGACGATAAATGAACTCCACGTTAGAGGTCAGGAGACATACCATGTGTCAGAGAGAAGTACCAGGAGTCCCACCATGACATACTCATGTACCAGTCATATGTCGCTGATAGGCAGAACTCAATCCTTGTTTGAGTAAAAAACAACTTGATTGTTGATTACACTAATTAACAAAAAAAAAAAATCTTTACCAAATATATTGCAAGGTATTTAGGGTATTTTGGAGTTGCTGAATTCGAAAATGTCAGTAGGTTTTTCAGATTGGCTTAGATTTGTAAGATATTGCATAACTACTTACAATTAACAAGAAACTTAGCCATAACGTGTGTATATGTATATGTAGTGACAATTTACTATATTTTTAATTAACACATCGGCCGTTTCCCACCATAACTTTCATCATTCACTCCATCACTGTCTTGCCAGGACTCAAGTCCGGCCTGCCGGGTTCCCTGAATCCCTTCATAAATGTTTCCTTGCTCACACTCCAACAGCAAGTCAACTCCTAAAAACTATTTGTCTCCACTCCTATCTAAAACACTCACGCATACTTGTTGGAAGACCAAGCCTCTACCCACACAAAACCTCCTTCACCCCCTCCCTCCAACCTTCGTAGGACGACCCCTACCCCGCCTTCCTTCCACTACAAATTTATACGTTCTCCAAGTCATTCTATTTCGTTCTCACCCCGTCTAAACGTCCGAACCACCTCAACACCCCCCCTCAGCCCTCTGGATAATACTTTTAGTAACCCCACACCTCCTAATTTCCAAACTACGTATTCTCTGCATTATATTCACACCACACATTGACCTCAGACATGACATCTCCACTGTATCCAGCCTTAACCTCGTTGCAATATTCACCACCCATGTTTCACACCCATATAAGAGCATTGGTATGATTGTGCTCTCATACATCTTTCTCTGTGCTTCCACAGAAAATGTTTTTTTTTGTCTCCACAGACTCCTTAGTGCACCACTTATATTTTCCTTCCCTCATCAATTCTACGATTCACCTCATCTTTCATAGACCCATCTGCTGACACGTCCACTCTCAAATATCTGAATACATTCACCTCCTCTATACTCTCTCCCTCCAATCTGATATCCAATCTTTCGTTACCTAAATTTTTTTGTTGTCCTCATCACCTTAATTTTTCCTATAATCACTTTTAATTTACTTCTTTTACATACCTTTGAAAACTCATCCACCAACCTCTGCAACCTCTCTTCAGAATCTCCCAAAAGCACAGTGTCATCAACAAAGAGCAACTGTGACAACTCCCACTTTGTGTTAGATTCTTTATCTTTTAACCCCACACCTCTTCCAAACACCCATCTATAAATATATTGAATAACCATGGCGACATCACACATCCTTGTCAAAAGCCTACTTTACTGCTCTTTACTGTTTTCAGTAACCCACCTCCTATTCCATACATATGAAACATCTATTTTTGCCCCCCTATCCACCCTATTAGACACCTTTTCCAAATTCATAAATACTATTAAAAACCTCTTTAACCTTAGCTAAATATTGCTCATCTATGTTACACTGTAAACACTTAGTTTACACACCCACCCTTCCTAAACCCTCCTTGTTCATCTGCTATCCTACTCTCCGTCTTACTCTTAATTCCATATACTTCACCAGGTATTCTCAACAGACTTATTCCCCTTTAATTTTACACTTTCTTTTGTCCCCTTTGTTTTTATACAAAGGAACTATGCATGCTCTCTTCCAATCCCTATCATATCCTTTTCCATACATTTATTAAATAAAAGAGCTAATCATTCTTAAACTACATCCCCACCTACTTTTAACATTTCTGTCTTTATCCCATCAATCCCAGCTGCTTTACCCTCTTTCATTCTACCCACTGCCTCACGAAATTCCCCCACACTCACAACTAGCTATTCCTCATTCCTACAAGATGTTATTTCCTGCCAAATACACGAAATCACAGCTTCCTTATCCTCCTCAAAGTTTAAAAATTCCTTAAAATATTCCCTCCATCATCCCAATACCTATAACTGTCCATCTAACAACTTCACCACTCTCTTAATCTCTCTTTTTCCCCCTCCATATATTCCTCCCTCCTTGCATCACTTCTGTTTTGAAAAAAACTCTCATATGCTAACATTTTCTCTCTTTACATCATCATTCCACCAATCGCTCTTCTTCCCTCCCGCACCCACTTTCCTGTAACCACAAACTTCTTCTGAACACTCTAACACTACATTCCTAAACCTACCCCATACATCTTCAACCTCATTGCCTGTACTCTCACTAACCCATCTATCCTCCAATAATTGTTTATATCTTTCCCTAACTCCCTCTACCCTTAGTTTATAAACCTTCACCTCTCTCTTACTTGCTGCTTCCATTCTCCTTATATTCCATCTACCTTTTACTCTCAGTGTAGCTACAACTAAAAAGTGATCTGATATATCTGTGGCCCCTCTATAAACATGTACATCCTGAAGTCTACTCAACAGTCTTTTATCTACCTATAAATAGTCCAACAAACTACTGTCATTAAGCCCTCTATCATATCTTGTATTCTTATCTTTTTTTTTAAATATGTATGACCTATAACCAAACCTTTTCTATGCAAATTTCAGTCAAAGGTTCCTCATTATCGTTTACACCTGGCACCCCAAACTTACCTACCACACCCTCTCTAAATGTTCCTACTTTAGCATTTAGATTCTCTACCACAGTTACTTCTTTACTTGGTTCAAAAGTTTCAACACACTCGCTTAACATTTTCCAAAATCTCTCTCTCTCTCCTCTACACTTCTCTCTCTCCAGGTGCATACACGTTTATTATGACCCACTTTTCACATCCGACCCTTATTTTAATCCACATAATCCTTGAATGCATACATTTATATTCCCTCTTCTCCTTCCATAACTGATTCTTCAACATTATTTCTACCTTTCCTTAGCTCTAACTCTCTCAATACTCCTGAGTTAATCCCATTTGTTTCTCCACAGTGAAACTCACCTACCCCCTTCAGCTTTATTTTGCTTAGAGCTAAGACATCCCACTTCTTTTCATTCTTAACATTGCCAATCATCTCTTTTTTATCATCTACACTACATCTACGCATATACAAACATTCCAGTTTTATAAAAAAAATTCTTCTCTTTTTTAGTAGTTTATACAGGAGAAGAGGTTGCTAGTCCATTGCTTTTGGCATTTTGTTGCTTCCTATGACACGCATGGCTTAAGGAGGAAAGATTCTTTTCCACTTCCCCATGGAAATAAGATGAAATAAAGGAGAACAAGAACTATTAAGGAAAAAGTACAAAACCCCAGATGGAGTGTGTATATATATGCTTGTACATGTCTGTGTGTGACCTAAGTGCAAGCAGAAGCAGCAAGATATACCTGTTATCCTGCGTGATTTTGAGACAGAGAAAAGACACCAGCAATCCTACAATCATGTGAAACAATTACAGGCTTTCGTTTTACACTCACTTGGCAGGACGGTAGTACCTCCCTGATGTAACATTTAACGACAGGAGTTGTATCAACAACGACAACATGACATTATTGTAACCTTTACTTTGCTTTTTTTTTCTTCACGAAGAGCTTGTTTAAACAGTCCAAATACAGTTTGCTAGATTCGTGGTGAATATTCTTTGCAAAAGAAAGAAAAAATGACAGATTTTGCTTATTTTGGAGTGGCACTTGGAGAACAAGACAAGTCTCGTAAGCATTCTGCACAAGTTTGCAAAACCTGTGTAGAATGCTTATGACAGTGGAAAAATAGACAAAGGAAAAGTGTAAACTTGGGTGGGCCTATAGTGTTATTTCTGTATGGTGAATGAAAAAGGTTACAATCGATTCAAGAAAATCACATTGGAATATCCTGATTTGGAGTCAGCAAGGAGACCTGTGCCACACAGTGAAGACGGTCACATACCAGTGACCAGTGTTTACAACACTGCCTGACCTTCCATTGTCAGATGTTGAAGAAACTCAGAGTTTAGGATGTGACACAGGTGATAGCAGTTCTTCCGAGAACAACTTAATGATCTCATATGTGACCTCAGTCTGTCAAAGGAAGCATCTGAACTTTTAGCATTCAGACTAAAAGAAAAGAACTGTCTACAACAAAAAGTTAAAATAACTTATCGGACAAGAGAGGCTCAACTACTCCCATACTTCAGCCAAGAAGAACTTGTATACCGCAGTAAACACACACACACACACACACATACATGCACACACACACACATACACACACACACATACACACACACAAAAATACACACACACAAAAATACACACACACACCACATACACACACATGCAATATATATATATATATATATATATATATATTATATATATAATATTTTATATATATATATAATATATATATATGTATATAATGATCACCAGCCTTCAGCAGTGGTTGCAAGCCTCACTTCCGGTCAGGCTTGGGGAGGCTGGGAGTACGCAGATCCTCCCAGATTGCTCTACCAGCTTTCCTATCTTCTTCCATAGCATCAAACGGTTGATAAGACAAATTCTTCCTGATAACTTCAGTGACTCAGTAGGAATACAGGACCCTAGCTATGCCAGTGCCATCACCGAATGGGAGACTCTTGCTGCTCCAGCACAAAACCCTATTGCAGCACTGGCTGACGAACAGTCAAGCTGGGATGGCCCGATTGCTGAAAAGGTGCTTACCAACATGCTCAGGGCTGCAACATCAGATAGGGAGACTGCCCGTCTCCAGGCTGTGAGCACACCTCACTCCGGGGACTTCCTCCAAACAGTTCCCATATCGGCAATGGGAACGCAACTCGACCCTAAGACCCTCCGTATTGCTGAGGCTCTGAGCCTTGCTGCCCCAATTCACACAGAATATACGTGTATTTGCGGCGAAGTGTAAGCAGACCAATGCGGTCTACATGGTCTTAACTGTTCCAAAACCAAGGGTTGGCATGCAAGACACAATGAGGTCAACGACATCATAAAGAGAACCCTTGCTACAGCTGGATGCCCAGCCGAGAGGGAGCCCCGATCACTAGCAGCCAACAATACCCACAACCCAGCAAATCACTCCGACAGGATCACCATCTATCCTTGGAAGAATGGCAAGCTCTTAGCAAGGGACTATCCCTGTGTGTCCACACTGGCTGACACCTATATCCATCACAGTGTCGGGCGACAGGGAAGAGCTGCTGACCACGGGGAGGAGTACAAGATCAGCAAGTACAGGGACATAAGCCAACAGTATCAATTTGTCCAAGTGGGATCAGAGACCTTGGTATCATGGGGAAAAATGCCACACGTTTCCTTAAAGAATTGGGCTCCAGACTCATCGACACCACCAAGGACCCAAGGACAGCCACTTTCATGTTCCAGCACCTCAGTGTGGCCATCCAGAGGGGAAATGCTTCCTGCATACTTGGCTCGCGTCCGGCTTCGGAGGAACTGGAGGAAATTCATGATCTTTAACACATTGTACCATTGTATTCATGTTTGTGTTTTCTGTAAATGCGTTCTGTTTATTAATAAATATTCACATAGAACCTTGAGTTTTCCCTGACGTACGTTTATTGTCTTCTATGAGGATGAGGGTCCCCAATCCAGCTAAAGAGGTATATGTCGTGCCGAATAGGCAGAACTTGCGATCTTGGCTTAAATAGCAACGCTCATCTTGCCATATAGGACAAGCGAAAATTTGTGTATGCAATAATTTAGCCAAAATCATTCTGAACCTAACGAAAAAAATATATTTCACTGTGTTTGTTTAGTATTAAATTATTGTAAACAAATCTAAAATATATTTAGTTGGGTTAGGCTAAAATAAATTGTTCTTGTTATAATAAGGTTAGGTAAGTTTTATAAGATTCTTTTGGTGCAAAATTAAAAATTTTTACATTAACATTAATGAAAAAAATATATCTTTAAACGTATAAGAAACTTTTTTAGAAAGGACTTAATTTTAAATGAGTTCTTGCTAATTGACCAGTTTTACATATTCGGCACGACTATATATATATATATATATATATATATATATATATATATATATATATATATATATATATATATATATATATATATATAATATATTATATATGTAATAATAATCGCGAACAAACGATACTAGACGAAAAACACAAATGGGGAGTTGAATGCCTTTCTTGTTGGAAATCAACACATCATCAGTAGCTGGCAAAATTGCTGCAAAGAAAAAGAAGTCCATGTAAATACGTTCAGGAGAACGTATTTACATGTATACACTGGTATACCAGTGCCCCTGGTATACCAGTGCCCAATACCCAGTGCCCGAAACACTGAATATTAAAGCATTAGAATACAACCAACCCACAAGCACTGCTATTGTAGTAAGTAATAATCTCACTAAAGTAGCTTTAGTAATATAACAATTATCAAAAATTTCTTGAGACTTCGATGTGATGTACAAAATTTTACATTCTGAATATAGATTTATCTGAAAATTGTCATAGGAAACTTCCGCACATTTAAAAAACGGACTCACCTGAGTGAGTCCATAGAACTCGCCCAGAGTTTGTCTATCCCACAATTTTTTTTCTTTTTGAAGTATATTGTATTCTAGCATCAACCATGGAATTTCCTTCGCAATAAATGCAAGTTTCTCAGATCCACTGCATTCATTATTATTTGTTATATATAGTGTAATACCCGTGTCTATTATCTAACATTCCTATACTCCTAACTTCTATGTTTAAAATCTGATTCAATCTCGGCGCTGCTCTCTCATGTTGAAAACACTTTGTAAAGTGGTATCACAACTTTCCTTTCTTGACATTTGTGAAGGATAATAGTCCCAAAACCATGGTTACAACAGCACACAAATTGTTCCATCTGGACAAGGACGGAACAAAAAATAACCACAAGAAATTTGCTTCATTCTTTAATAAAAAAAATTGATAAAATTAACTCACACAATCTGCTCGTTGAGGACACCATAGAATCCGTTCCCTTTATCAGTGAAGGTAATAGCATTACACCGGCCGCCATACTCGTATAGGGTAAAATATCTCTTGATTTCGTACCATTTACCCAGGAACTGTGGAGACAGTAAAGAAATTGAGAAATACAATCAATATTTACCTAATGGATTCACTGAAGTGCTAAAAAATGTACACAATGATTTGTACTGTACATGTGTATTGTTAAAGAAATATAAACATCATATGCTCATGTACGACTACACACAAACTGTGCCAGAATGGAAAAGTACAGAAGACAAAGGACCCAGGAAAATAAAGAAATTAGTCGAAGAGCCAGAAACGAGTATGCGCAGATAAGGAGAGAGGCTCGGCCACATAAAGAGGAAGACAACAGTCAAGGACCAGGTGATCAGACTGAGGAAGGAAGGTGAGGAGATCACACGAAACAACCAAGAAGTGTGTGAGGAGCTCAACATGAGATTTAAGGAAGTATTTACAGTGGAGACAAAAAGGACTTCAGGAAGTCAGAACAGGAGGGTACACCAACAAGGGATATACCAACAAGTGCTGTATGAGATAAACACAACTGAGAAGGAGGTGATGAAGCTACTAAACGAACTTGATGCCTCAAAGGTAGGAGAGGGGTCAGAGACGTTGTGTGTGCCTCTAGCAATAATTTTTAACACATCCATTGCAACTGAACAAACACCTGAGGTATGCAAAACGGCAAATGTAGTCCCCATTTTTAAGAAATAAGACAAACACGAGAAACTAAACTACAGACCAGTCTCACTGACGTGTATAGTATGCAAAATCATGGAGAAGATTATCAGGAGGAGGATGGTGGAGCACCTAGAATGGAATAAACGACAACCAGCACGGATTCAGGGAAGGAAAATCTTGTGTCAAAAACCTACTGAAGTTTTATGACAAGGTAACTGCAGTATGACACGAGAGACAGGGGTGTGTAGACTGCATTTTTTTTGGACTACAAGAAGACCTTCGGCACAGTTCCTCATAAGAGATTAGTGTAAAAGCTAGAGGATCAGGCACGTATAACAGGAAGGGCACTGCAATGGATCAGAGAATATCTGACAGGGAGACAACAATGAATCATGTTACATGACGGGGTGTCAGAGTGGGCGCCTGTGACGAGCGGGGTTCCACAGGGGTCAGTCCTAGGACCAGTGCAATTTCTGATATATGTGAATGACATGGCGGAAGGGATAGACTCAGAAGTATCCCTGTTTGCAGATGATGTGAAGCTAATTATGAGAATTACATCGGATGAGGATCAGGCAAGACTACAAAGAGACCTGGACAGGCTGCACGCCTGGTCCAACAACGGGCTCCTAAAGTTTAACCCCTCCAAATGTAACGTCATGAAGATCGGAAAGGGCAAAGAAGACCGCAAGCAAAGTATGGGCTAGGTGGACAAAGACTGCAAGCCTCACTCAAAGAAAAGATCTTGGGGTAAGCATAATACCGAGCACTTCTGAGGCGCACATAAACCAGATAAGTACTGCAGCTTATGGGCGCTTGGCAAACCTGAGAGTAGCGTTCCAATACCTCAGTAGGGAATCGTTCAGACACTGTACATCGTTTACGTCAGGCCCATACTGGAGTATGCAGCACCAGTTTGGAACCCACACCTCGTCAAGCATGTAAAGAAATTAGAGAAAGTGCAAAGGTTTGCAACAAGACTAATTCCAGAGCTAAGGGAAATGTCCTACGAAGAAGGTTAAGGGAAATCGGTCTGACGACACTGGAGGACAGGAGGGTCAGGGAAGACATGATAACAACATACAAAATACTGCGAGGAATTGACAAGGTGGACAGAGACAGGATGTTCCAGAGATTGGACACAGAAACAAGCGGCCACAATTGGAAACTGAAGACTCAGATGAGCCAATGGGATGTTAGGAAGTATTTCTTTAGAGTTGTCAGGAATTGGAATAGTCTGGCAAGCGATGTAGTGGAGGCAGGAACCATACAAAGTTCTAAGACGAGGTATGATAAAGCTCGTGGAGCAGAGAGAGAGGACCTAATAACGACCAGCGAATAGGCGGGGCCAGGAGCTATGAATCGGCCCCTGAAACCACAAACAGGCGAGTAGTTGATTAAAGATTTGTGGGAGTTTTGTTGTAAAACACAGGCGTTTCTCTAGTCGTTCCGATGTAAGTGTTTGAAGGTGTTTGGATATCTCGCCCAGAGATAATTGGCTGCAATTGCTGCAAGGAATTATCTATACTCCTGTGGAGGATTGAACCTGGTGTTGTTCCTTACTAGTGATGGCTTTGTGGTGGATGTAGAGGTAGATATATCTTATCCAATACAGTATTACATTTTCCTCTACAATCTACATGCACCACAGTCAAAGACATCATCAGACACCACCAGGTTGTGTTGCTATGACAGGACACACAAGTTGTGTTGCTATGACAGGACACACAAGTTGTGTTGCTGTGACAGGACACACAAGTTGTGTTGCTATGACAGGACACACAAGTTGTGTTGCTATGACAGGACACACAAGTTGTGTTGCTATGACAGGACACACAAGTTGTGTTGCTATGACAGGACACACAAGTTGTGTTGCTGTGACAGGACACATAAGTTGTGTTGCTATGACAGGACACATAAGTTGTGTTGCTGTGACAGGACACACAAGTTGTGTTGCTATGACAGGACACACAAGTTGTGTTGCTATGACAGGACACATAAGTTGTGTTGCTATGACAGGACACACAAGTTGTGTTGCTATGACAGGACACACAAGTTGTGTTGCTGTGACAGGACACACAAGTTGTGTTGCTATGACAGGACACACAAGTTGTGTTGCTATGACAGGACACACAAGTTGTGTTGCTGTGACAGGACACATAAGTTGTGTTGCTATGACAGGACACATAAGTTGTGTTGCTGTGACAGGACACACAAGTTGTGTTGCTATGACAGGACACACAAGTTGTGTTGCTATGACAGGACACACAAGTTGTGTTGCTATGACAGGACACATAAGTTGTGTTGCTATGACAGGACACACAAGTTGTGTTGCTATGACAGGACACACAAGTTGTGTTGCTGTGACAGGACACACAAGTTGTGTTGCTATGACAGGACACACAAGTTGTGTTGCTATGACAGGACACACAAGTTGTGTTGCTATGACAGGACACACAAGTTGTGTTGCTGTGACAGGACACACAAGTTGTGTTGCTATGACAGGACACACAAGTTGTGTTGCTATGACAGGACACACAAGTTGTGTTGCTATGACAGGACACACAAGTTGTGTTGCTATGACAGGACACACAGGGTGTGTTGCGTTAACAGGACAAATAACCGCAGTCAGTAAGTTTTTATAAATATTCACCATTTTAAACTCAGTTTAATATCTTCCATGTGTAAAAAGGTGCATGACGTGGGTTTAAATGTACATGATATAGTTTTAGTTGTACGTAATGTAAATTTATATGTAGATGATGTAGGTATAAAAGTACATTACGTGGGTTTATACCTTAAAAGTCTCTCTAATTATTTAGCGGTTCAGAGAAGTAATAATCCTTCATGTAAATTATTATTAGTAAATCAGAGGACATGAAGCCCAGTGAAATGCTAAAATATCTTAACACATGCTATCGTTGAAAGTTTGAAGCCAACCACAGGAAGCATTCTCAAGTTATCCAACGAATCCAAGTTTTCATTAACTTCTTATGTAATTACAAAGTTGTATCAACAATGCATAAACTTGTAGACCATAATCTAATTCATGAAATGCATCAGCATTGATGGTTTGAAGCCAGTCAGAATAGTCATTCTTTGTTTGTTGAATGGAAATCAATTTCACAATTTAATGAGAGAGAAATTTCTACTCAGGCAGCACAATAAGAGGGTAAAGTCTGCTTTGCAGAAGGTATACCAGCACTATAAGTTTGAGGCCGATCAGAAAAGGCATTCTCCAGCTATGGCACGGATTCCAGCAATTCCAAGATTTTATCCCATTTAGTAAACAAAAAAAAAACAATTAAAATGCCAGTACATAAACTTAGATGGTAGAATTATTGTTCAGATGAAGCATCAGGTATTAAATACTGAAGCTGTTCAGAAGAAGTAGACACAAATCTATTTAGCCTGATACTGGTGGAATAAATATTTCATACTATTTTAAATGTAAAATTGGCAAAGGTGGACCTACACTCTTGAATCTCACTATCCACCGTCGTCGAAATAGGGAGCAGCACCTTTGTGGAGTGTTTGAAGCTCTGCTATAGTGGTACCTGGGAGTTATCGAAGCCAGTCCAGGGATCTAGGAACACGTTCTAAAACTTTGATAGTAAGACACCTGCACATGCCAATACTTTTAACTCTTACCCGGGTTACTCTACACCAGCGATGAAAATCCGCAGCCGCTCTAATTGGGTCTCGTGTTATGAATGAGATACAAACGAGACTTTGGAAGAAGAAGGAAAAATGGCATAAAATTTCTGGTAACCACTGATAGGTCACCCTTTATGGATACTAAGTCTGGAACCCTCTCGTCTACCTTTACTCTGGTAATGTTTCCGATATCTTCTGTAGTCAATTCCATCTACAGATTCAAGTGAAGAATACAAAGACACATTAACCTGACTGGAAAAATACACAAACCCTCATAACCTCGGTCCGACTTGGATGGTCCAGGTCGGACCGAAACGTCGTCATAAGTTTCTTTCTCGTGTGTGTGGGTTGTTTGTGGAAAATTCAAGTGTTCAACAAGTGATGTAGTGGAGTCAGGATCCATACATAGCTTTAAGAAGAGGTATGATAAAGTTCAAGGAGCAGGAAGAATGTCCCAGTAGCGACCAGTAAAGAGGCGGGGCCAGGAGCTGTGAATCGACCCCTGCAACCACAACTAAGTGAGTACAGTTCTACTTACCAAGGACACATTAAAGCTGGTGAAAGCAGTCTGTGGAGGACAGTGGAAGAGGAAGAAAATCTGCATTGCTGTATGAGGTATGAGCACCGCTACAACCACCAGACTTACACTCCGGCCCATCACTGACATCATACCTGTAATATGTCCTGCAATTAACACATACTCTAATGCATAATCAAGGACAAACGATAAATGATACATAACAGGTACAGGTGGGAGATGACTGATACCTCCAGGTCTTTCGTGTTGCAGCCAATAATTTTTAAAGAGCTTGCAATGTTGCACATGGAATAAGGGGTATGAGCAGGTGTGTCCATGACAGCAGCTACCAGTAGCATCTCACTAGGTAAGTTGTCACCCCTGAGTGAAGCATCATCTCACTGTATACCATATAAAATGTGCTTCTCTTGCCTCTTCTTCCTATTCCTCTGAAGATGGCTGCGAAAGCACATGAAAGTCCTCAGATTTTTTCCTATTTTCATTGGTATATATGTCGTGCCGAATAGGTAAAACTTGTGATTTTGGCTTAAATAGCAACGCTCTTCTTCCCGAATAAGGCAATCGAGAATTTGTGTATGCAATAATTTTGCAAAAATAATTTTAAACCTAACGAAAAAAAATTATATTTCATTGCGTTTGATAATTATTAAATTATTGTAAACTTATCTAAAATATATTTAGTTGGATTATGCTAAATTAAACTGCCCTTGTTATAATAACATCAGGTAAGTTTTCTAACGTACTTTTGGTACAAAATTATTATTTTTTTACATTAACGTAACTGAAAAAAATGTATCTTTAAATGTATAAGAGAAAATTGTAGAAAGGACTTAATTTTAAATGAGCTCTTCCTAATTTACCAATTTTACCCATTTGCACGACATTGATATTATAATATATATATATATATATATATATATATATATATATATATATATATATATATATATATATATATATATATATATATATATATATATGTATATATATATATATATATGTATATATATATATATATATATATATATATAATGTATATTATATATATATATGTATATATATATATATATATATATATATATATATATATATATATATTATATAATATATATAATATATATATATATATATATATATATATATATATATATAATATAGGGTGTGTAGAAGAGTGGGAGACTACTTCCCAGTAAAAGTAGGTCTTAGACAGGGATGTGTAATGTCACCATGGTTGTTTAATATATTTATAGATGGGGTTGTAAAAGAAGAAGTAAATGCTAGAGTGTTGGGAGGAGAGGGGTGGGATTAAATTATGGGGAATCAAATACAAAATTGGAATTGACACAGTTACTTTTTGCTGATGATACTGTGCTCATGGGAGATTCTAAAGAAAAATTGCAAAGGTTAGTGGATGAGTTTGGGAGTGTGTGTAAAGGTAGAAAGTTGAAAGTGAACATAGAAAAGAGTAAGGTGATGAGGGTATCAAATGATTTAGATAAAGAAAAATTGGATATCAAATTGGAGAGGAGGAGTATGGAAGAAGTGAATGTTTTCAGATACTTGGGAGTTGATGTGTCGGCGGATGGATTTATGAAGGATGAGGTTAATCATAGAATTGATGAAGGAAAAAAGGCGAGTGGTGCGTTGAGGTATATGTGGAGGCAAAAAACGTTATCTATGGAGGCAAAGAAGGGAATGTATGAAAGTATAGTAGTACCAACACTCTTATATGGGTGTGAAGCTTGGGTTGTGAATGCAGCAGCGAGGAGGCTGTTGGAGGCAGTGGAAGGGTCCTGTCTAAGGGCAATGTGTGGTGTAAATATTATGCAGAAAATTCGGAGTGTGGAAATTAGGAGAAGGTGTAGAGTTAATAAAAGTATTAGTCAGAGGGCAGAAGAGGGGTTGTTGAGGTGGTTTGGTCATTTAGAGAGAATGGATCAAAGTAGAATGACATGGAGAGCATTTAAATCTGCAGGAGAAGGAAGGCGGGGTAGGGGTCGTCCTCGAAAAGGTTGGAAGGAAGGGGTAAGGGAGGTTTTGTGGGCGAGGGGCTTGGACTTCCAGCAGGCGTGCATGAGCGTGTTCGATAGGAGTGAATGGAGACGAATGGTATTTGGGACCTGACGATGTGTTGGAGTGTGAGCAGGGTAATATTTACTGAAGGGATTCAGAGAAACCGGTTATTTTTATATAGCCGGACTTGAGTCCTGGAAATGGGAAGTACAATGCCTGCACTCTGAAGGAGGGGTTTTGGGATATTAGCAGTTTGGAGGGATATGTTGTGTATCTTTATACGTATATGCTTGTAAATTGTTGTGTTCTGAGCACCTCTGCAAAAACAGTGATTATGTGTGAGTAAGGTGAAAGTGGTGAATTGGGGATCTTCTTTCTTTTTGGGTCACCTTGCCTCGGTGGGAGACGGCCGACTTGTTGAAAAAAAAAGTATATATATGTATATATATGCAAAACAACCACTCTGAAAGAATAGAGAAATTCCAAGCGCTTTCGTGACTACTCACATTATCAAGGAACTATGAAAGTGAAGCATCCAAGGAAGCTATATAAGGGGTCGGCCAGCACCTCACTATCAGATCCCACAACGGTTAAACACGTGACGCGCGGCGAGCCAACTTGGATAGGTCCTTTGCAAAACTCACCCCCAAGCTATTTATTTGTCCAGTGTATTATTAAATTCTACCCAAATTCTATTAATTATAAATGGATCTAATTTATATAAACCAAAGGAAATATTCATATTATTGTCAAAACTGGTTTTTATGAAACAAGAATCAATTATATTCCTGTCGACCATGGACTTGCTTGATACTACTTTCTCAACTTTTTGAAAATCAATTGGATGGTTAAAATCTCTTACATGAATAAATAGAGCATTGGAATCTTGTCCAGTTCTAATGCTATATTTATGTTGTTTTAATCTTAGTTCGAGATTTTTACCAGTTTGACCGTAATAAACTTTATCGCAAATTTTACAAGGAATCTTATAGACACATCCATCAGCATTTTGGGGGGAATTCTTAATCAAAAGTTTTTTTATTGTATCAAGATTTTTGAATACAACTTTAATATTAAAAGTCTTAAGAAGAGAAGGCATATCAACCAAGTTTTCATGGTAAGGGAGAACCAACATATTTTTAGTTGAATAAGGCTGGTTGCCCTTTTTTGGATTATAAAAAGTGTTCCTAGCAACTTTAAAAGATTTATCAATTACATTTCTTGGGTATTTTAAATCATTACCTATTTCATAAATTTTGGATATTTCCTCGTCTATGAACTCAGGACTACAAATTCGAAAAGCTCTCAAAAACATTGATGAGAAAACAGACAGTTTGACTCTATCTTGATGCGAGGAATAATAGTGGACATAGGAACAGTTATTTGTAGGTTTTCTGTAAATTTTAAATTTGAATTCATTATTACCCTTAATAATTAAAACATCTAGAAAAGGCAATGAGTTATTTTCTTCAAACTCAACAGTAAAGTTTATAGAATGGGCTAAGCTATTTAATTTTCCAAGAAAATGGTGTATATCTACATTTTTGGGCATAAGACACAAAATATCATCAACATATCTGAACCATTTAGCTCTATTAGGGAGGATTGTGTTAAGCAACCTTGTTTCAAAAAATTCCATGTATAGGTTACTAAGAACAGGTGAAAGAGGATTTCCCATTGCCATACCAACTTCTGAGTGTAAAACTTATCATTAAATACAAATTTTGCATCAACAATGCAAAGTTTAATAAGTTTAATGATAGTAGGAACAGGCAATGGTAAATCATAGTTAACGAGTTCTTCAGATAAGAAAACTTAATAAATCATCAACAGGAACTTTCGTAAACAAGGAAGTAACATCAAACTAACCATGTTAAAATCATTTAAGTCAGTCAAGGAGCTTAATTTATCAACCAAGTCTATGTTTTTTAACATAAAGTTAGAAATTTTGCCAACAATAGGGCTCAAAATATCAACAAGCCAATTGGATAATTTATATGAAACTGATCCTATGGAGCTAATAATTGGTCTGACTGGATTCCCTGGTTTGTGTGTTTTTTATTAGTCCATACATGTAAGGTAAAGATGGATTAGTGGAAGTAAATTGTTTGACTAATTCATCTTTGCCTTTCAGTAGAAGTTTTATTGTTTTATTGAAATTGCTGTTAACGGTTTCTAGGGGATTTTTCCTAAGTTTAGAATAGGTTTCAGTATCAACTAAGAGATTATTCATTTTTTCTTGGTAATCATTTTCTTTCATAATTACTATTGCATTTATTTTGTCTGCTTTAGTAAGGCGCAAATTTTTATTGTTATTAAGTGTATCATAAGACTTAAAGAATCTTTGAGGGCAATTGGGAATGTTTGGTTTTAACATAGAGCTGTATACCATTCCTTTACTAATATTAATTTCATCAGAGGATAAATCAGAAAATTTTTCAAAGTTACAAAAGGCTTTTGCAATTTCAACATTATTAAGTTTTTTTGAAGTTGCAAAACTTAGGCCAAAACCTAGAGCAGCAGTTGTATGTTTGTCTAAAATTTCATCTGATAAGTTAATTACAAAATTGTTATTAGCATGCTTTGTCCAATCACTATTTTCAATTAAAATGTCTAATTTTCTTTGTAGTTTGCTCTTGAGTTCATTACAAATTCTTCTGAGTTTATTATAGCAATGATCCAACATACTGTGTTTCCATTGTTAGTTTTGATGTTACTTCCTTGTTTACGAAAGTTCCTGTTGATGATTTATTAAGTTTCTTATCTGAAGAACTCGTTAACTATGATTTACCATTGCCTATTCCTACTATCATTAAACTTATTAAACTTTGCATTGTTGATGCAAAATTTGTATTTAATGATAAGTTTTACACTCAGAAGTTTGGTATGGCAATGGGAAATCCTCTTTCACCTGTTCTTAGTAACCTATACTTGGTTAATATGCCTTCTCTTCTTAAGACTTTTAATATTAAAGTTGTATTCAAAAATCTTGATACAGTAAAAAAACTTTTGATTAAGAATTCCCCCCAAAATGCTGATGGATGTGTCTATAAGATTCCTTGTAAAATTTGAGATAAAGTTTATTACGGTCAAACTGGTAAAAATCTCGAACTAAGATTAA